AAGCCATAAACCCTATAAGGCAGGGCGTGTTCCTGTTCCTATTAACCTTAACCTGTACGTAATACTTTAAACCTTACACCCAACCTAAACCCCGCCTAAATGCAGGCCCCAAGCTTAAAACAGAACGTCAACCGTCACCTTAATCAACCTACACCCCAAATCCTCGCTAAGCTCTTGTCGACTCGCAGCCCTATAACTTTTAACTTCAAACCCTAAACCCCAAACTCAAAAGCTTGAGCTAAACCCCAAAGCCCCAAACCCCACCCACAGGGAGGGGGGGGATCCTGGACCATGCCATGGACCATGGGGGGGGGGAGGGGGGGGGGGAGCCGCGGAGCGCCTGACTACATATCTTTTTTCCTGCTGTACGTATGTTCAGGAACCCTGAGGAATAGAGTCGAAGACTGCTGTGCGGCTTCGGCTCTGGAACCATGGTAACGGCTCAAGGTTTTCGGCTGAAGGAAGGCTTAGAGCTACACTGTCCTTCAAGCTCTCTTTATTGAATCCTGTAGATATAAGAGCTATACATGCTTGCTCCACTGCTCTGCACGGCTTTCGACACAGCAGATGCGGACATGTCGTGTTCACCCGGTCACGAACGAAATGACTTCACAGGCCACTGGCAGCTGCAACCATGTGTGATCAGCTAACTGTTTCCGGACCCCGCTCGAATGCCTGGGCAGTCTATTGGGAGACCTTGCCTGCTTCATGTAGGGGCCTGAATAAATAGAATCGGGTTTTGGGGCCCATTATACTATAATTATAACAAGGGAACCCTCAAAAATCGTGTAGGTAATTATTGAGGCCCCTATATTACATGGCCAAGGCTCGTCGGCCTCGATGGTGTCGGGAACTTGAATTATGCTGGGCAGGTGCTTCAGTACCAGCCGGAAAAGATCCGGATTCCAGAACTCCGGATGCATCCCGATAAAGTCCTGCGCAGAGGAGCAGGCCAAAATCGGAAATTAAAAGCCAGTGTCTGCACAGGCTCTATGGCCTTATGGTGCAAGCCGCCGCGGTGAGGTTTATTACCCCTGCTGCTGAAATAGATGGCATGTCGAGTGGCTCTGCTGTCGATCGTTTCCCTACAATGACAGCGAGAACGACAACCACAACCACAAACACAAACAACGGCAACCGTCACTACCACCACCACAACCACTACCACCACCAGAAGACCACCACAACCAAAGCCCAACCATTACCACGACGAACGATCATTGCGACGACCCCCCAACCTTGGCCCAAACATCTTTATGCACTGGCAGCTTTGGCTAAAGACTCTTGGCGGGTATTTGCAAACCTTTCTTTTTCATAGTTCTTCAATGCTGCACGCCAGACTCCCCCCCAAGCTGAACCCAATGTTTCCGAGGCATCCTCGTAGAATGCAACATAATCGGATAAGTGAAGGTACCTGGTTCAGGGCATAGCACGCGGGGTGCGGGCAACGTAGCACGTAGGGTTTAGGGTTGAAGGGTTTAAGCGTTCTGCCAAGGGAGGCTCGGTTTAGGGTTTAGGGCTTCAGGGCTCAGCATTTGGTGAGACCTCCAAGCTCTCATGTTCACGGTGTCAAGCAGTTTTCTTCTTGGGAAAGCCATTTTTATGCACAGAAACAGAGCATTGTTTCTCAGGTAGGGATTCAACACGAAAGGCTCATTCTCAAGTCAGCACAAGGTGCGTGTGAAGCGCGGCGACGCTTTCGGCACTTTCTGCTGCACGCAGAGCCTCCATGCAGGCCATCCATGCGCCCGACGCTATGACCTGTCGGCGGTCTCGGAGAATCGGAGTCTCCAAGATGAGCCAGGGCCTGGTCCCCCGTAGGGAAGGTCCCGGAGAGCCCACCCCCGAAGTACAGAATGTCCCATCACAACCCGTTACATGATTTGCGGCAACAGGTTCTGAACCGTAAACCCTAAACCCCCTCAAGCCCTAAACACTATATAAACACTCTCTCAAAGCCCCCAAAACTTTTGCAACTGGCCTGCTGCGCTCCGCCAGGACGAACACTTGACCACAATCACTGTTATAGGAACCCCAAGACTAAACCCCTAAACTAAACCTCAAACCCTAAACCCTAAACCCTAAACCCTAAACCCTAAAACCCTAAACCCTAAAACCCTAAACCCTAAACCCCAAACCCCTAAACCCCTGAACGTCAAACCTGGAATCCCGGTAAGAAGGCCCAGGAGCATCTCGCCGGTCGCGAGCACCCTGGGCATAGCCACTGCCTCTTTAGGGTTTAGGGTTTAGGGCTTAGGGTTTACACTCTCACAACTCGGACCCTAAGGTTTAGGGTTTAGGGTGTAGGAGCTTCTATTAAGGGAGATGCCTTAAATCAATCATAGTAGGAATCCCAACTATGATTGAAGGTAGCTCCCCTAATTCAAGGATATTGGAGTCTCTGGGTTCTCTACTCTTACGATTTTCACTCCTACTTATTATTACTATTCCTCTTTCAGTGCAGGCGTGTATTAATCAGAGTCCACATTGCATTCCGGAAGACTTTAAGGAACTCGTTTTGAGCACGGGCTTGGATTGATTGTATGCCGGCAACATGCTCGAGGGCAGGGACTTCCCAGCTACCCTAAACCCTAAACCAACTTTAAACCTGAAGCCATAGCGACGAACACAAACCAGATTCGTACGGAGTTGCGGATGAGGGCATCCACCAGAGAGGCCACTGCTCGCCGCAGCTCCTCGTCTGCGGCAGCACAGATCTGTCCCAGATGACGGAGGAGCTGGAACCTGGGCTTTCTGAAGTTCTAGGGTTTAGGGTTTAGGGTTTAGGGTTTAGGATTTTTTATCACCTCTTTTCCTTCGCCTGATAAGGGTTCCGGAATACCATGATGGTTGAGGCAGGGGTTTAGGGTTTAGGGTT